TTGCTTCTGGCAGTTTCTTTTTCCCAACACAGCTGCACCTGAAAAACAAACATGCCATGATTTCCAGCATCTCTTCTATATCATGACTTTGGGTTTTTCAGTAAGCAGTAGGTCAAATTCTCCTATGAGCATTTGCATGTTGAGGAACTACCTAATGTCCCCTCAGGTCTTTTGTCACCTCTCTCTCAGCAGATCGCCCCTAGGTAATCCTTGTAACTGTTTATGATACCTGCTTTCTTGGTTGCTTGCAAACTGAAGACTATGAAGCGTAGGTGTGTCCTGGAAAGAGCTAGGAAAAAACAATGCCTCCATTCTTGGCAAACGCTCTCCCTGGTTATATTCACTTTGCATACAAATAAACAAAAAAGTAATATTTTATTAGGAATCCAGTGGATAGAATAATGGACTGTAACTCAGCAGAGCTTGGTTAGCAGTTCTGCCATTGGCTTATTGGGCAAAGTGATTTGTGTCATCACCATACTGCCTGGGATAAAGACAATTTCTTTGTAATGCACTACGAGCCTTGAAAAGGAAGAATATTATGCAGAGGGAATAATAATAAAGTCCTTCTAACAATAATAAAATTATGTGTTTTATATGTATGTTTATATATGTTGTGCACAGCGGAACGAACCATATTCTCTTCTCCCTCATGCTCCATCAGTGATGCTTTGAACTGGTTTCCATTTGAAGGGTTACATGTATTAGTGTACTAATTTTAGATGCGCCTTCAGATACAGGTGTGATTTTACCCTGAAAGAGATAACATTTCATTGTAGTAACACTGGGCAGCATTTCCTGCCTCTTCTTTTCTGTTGATAAGCCATAAAGGACTAAGTTTGGGGACCCTACCATTTAGAGTGGTGGTGGGGAAGAGTATTTTTTGTTTGTGAACTGGGTAAGCGTATTGCACTGACTCTTGGGCTGTAAGGACTGCATATGATTCCCTGAAGGTAATTTGCATAAACTAATTTTGTGTCTGCATTGGCTCTTTAAATCTTCTCTGTCTGTATGGGTGACAAAGAAACATTTATTTTGCCTTATTTTACGCAATGTAAATAATAGATACATTCAGGATAGATCCTGAATACCTCAGCTGATGAGCACCAGTGTAGCTCTGGAGTAAGCAGGGTTGCATCAGCTGAGGATCTACCCTGCCATCAGTTCTAAGTGCCAGCCTTGCAGTGCATTATACAAATGTTCACCGTAGTTTGTCAGCAACAAAGCTGTCACCCAACAATACACACTGCCTTCTATCAGCCATTACTTTTCTGTCATCATCATCAAGTGCAGCTTAAGAGAATCTGTGCATCGTTTCTTTCCTTCTGAACAATTTCCATGGAAATAATTGACCTGCTTTTATGGTAATTCGGTCTCTGCTGTTTGTTACTGCAGCATTTCCCAAGGAAAAATGCAAAACTAATGCCCTAGAACAAAAACATTCAGCCAAATTACTTACCAGTAATCCAAGGAATCACGGATAAATCCATTGCTCAAGTGGCTTCTCATTTGGAACTTTATGTAGTTTTCACCCAAGGGTTAAGGTTTGGTTTTATTGTGGGTGGAGGGGTTATTTTGTTTTTGAAAGGTAATACTCATGCTCTCTGCCCTACAGCAACTTTATATAAATCTCTTCTGCAAACTGTATCTGCCAGCACTGCCACTCCACCCCCAAGCTTTTACTACTAACACCAGCTAAAAATATTTAAAGGGACTGTTTCCATTTGTTTGGTGCATTTCATTTCATGTTTCTGCCTCTTCCTTTCTTCATTTTTCAAAAAAGTCAATAAGAGAGGTCATTTAAGCCTACTGTTTTGAAGTGGCAACCAGTAAACAGCCTTACAGCATGATTAATGAGTTCTCAGGAACAGTTTCCTGAAACTCACAAGTAAGTTGGGGCCAACTGAATTAGTTTTAAAGTGAATAAAGATATTCCAGTTATGGGCTGGGACTTTCACTGAGTCACTGTGTAGGCTACATTTTCCACCAGTTTCTACCACTGGCTGAGGGTGCTCATGTCAAGGAAGTATAACCTAGCACAGAAATGACATTCAGAATCTGGACTTCCAACAAGATAAACAAATAAGTGCTTAATTTCCATTTAAGAGCAGGAAATTGTGATCAAGGCATTTGATGAAAATCGTGAAGTCTTAAAAAGGATAATTGCTGTTACAAAAATTAAACTAAATGTTGTTTGATTCTACCCTATGGACATATTTGTCTTGATTTCTTTGACTTCCAACAAGCTTGGGTTTCTGTGGAGTTTCTAGGCTGCTATTGTGTTTTTCAGAGGAAAGGTGTAACTAAGGAAAGACATCATAGATGCTCTTCTGCTCGTTTAGGCAGGATCATTCTGTGGAAGGCTTTTGGGTTTGATAAGTGGGCACATTCTGAATTTCTCTACTTTCATTTATAAGTTTGTTGAGCAGATGGATTCCCGTGGCTGACAGAGCCAGCTTCTCAGCAGGGATGACACTGGGGAAGACATCAGTTCTCTTTTGACCTCTCAAAAGTGGGAGTAGTGTGTGGAGCAATGGAGTGATGGAAGTACATATTATTTTCATTGCTGCTTAAACCTTAAGGAAGTTCCATAGCCACACTTTGTATGGTGTGCTCACACTGTGTACAGAAGCACCTTCCACACAGCGAGTGACAGAGCTGGAATGAATGTGTTCATGGAGCTCCTGTGAAAGTACTGATTGCACTGGGAGCTCCTGCTGCAGTGAGCAAGGGCTTTACTCACCTTGCCAAACAGTTGTTTTGGTCACCAGGGTTTTTTGCTATTCCTGGTGCTCCAGGACTGCCATGAATGAAAAAGGATTGAGTATTTTCAGTGCTCTGAACTGTGTGCTCTTCTTCTCTGTTTGTGTGTTGGGTTGGAGGAATAATTTACGTTCTTGAAACATTTTATGGGCGGTCCATTGAATATTTTGTCTGGTGTTGCTTATTTAGAGGTAGCTTCAATTAGTGAATTGAGAGTAAATGAACTAATAGTAGATGATTTTTACATAAAATGAAGTGTTGAGCTAAATCCAAATTCTTTTTAAATATACATGGTTACTCGTGCTCTTGGCACAGAGATAAAGATTGGCAGTGATCCCTGTAGGATGTGGATTTCTGACATGGGTGAGGCTGGATGGAACGTCTATGTAATTCTGCTTGTTTTTATGAATAAACTATTTGGTCTAACTAAAATACAGTGTGGTTAATCCTGCCCTATTAACTTTTCTCAAAGAGTGAATGCTTTAAGAGTAAATTTGATGGAAGCTATTAAGGATGACAAAAACTTTGTTATATGAAAGGAAGTGTAGTGCAATCTAGCTGCAGAGTTCAGAACATTTAGAATTCCATGGTTACTGTAGTATAATACCACAGTCAATTATATTTCTTATTTTACATTTTTCTTTGTCTCTTTCTCACACAAGCCTAGACTATGAATTCATAATGTTAATGAAAAGTGTTGTGATGTTCCTGTAGGCTGCTGTAGGAAAATAATTACAACATGAGGAAGGTCATTCATGATGTGGCCCTTCTCTAAAGTAGGACTTTGTGGCTGATTAGGACATAAGCAAAATGGACTACATAACTTGAAAAAACCTTGAAAACCCCTGACAGATCATCCTACAGTCACTGCAAGAATCAGCTTTCTCAGCCCAACAGATCTTTCTGTGAAAAGTTTTAGTTACTGTACTTGAGGCCTTTAGTGACCCAAACCCTACTTTTTGGTGCTGTGCCCCTGACAACTTCTCGTCCTCTCCTTCTCCAACCATGTAACTAAAGCCTGAGCCTTCTCATGAACAAAGGGGCTGGCTGACAGCCTGCCATCTCCTCCACATGCATCCTGCTCAACACTGTGGATCAGGAGTAACATGATGCCAAGGCTGGTCTCAAAATCCAGCCTTATGGCTGGCAGATTTGGCGGGTTAGTTTTTCCTTCTCATTCAAACCGAGATTAAATGTAGAAACCTTTTAAGTTTCTTCTCTATTGCTATTCACAGCTCTGTTTGTGACTGCTGGAGAAAGAGATGTACACAGCTACTTAAGAAATATGTGTAGACAGGAAAGCTCTTTAAAAGAGCACAAAATACAGTGCAAGTATGTCTGCCGCTTCTTCTTCAGTCACATGCTACAGTTTAAAAAGCCAGCATGTTTTCTTCCACAAAAAGACCTTTATATTTCTGAACTTTCAGAAGCCTTAATCAATATAAATAACAGTTTGAGCATGATGACATCATATTCAGTCCCAGCGTTGTGCATCTCAGCAGCTTAGTCATTTAAATCAGTGGAAATAAGCATAGCAGTTAGAAGTTTTAAAAGGTCAAAGAAGCTACTGTCTTTTCAGCTTTGAATCAGCTGAGAGACTCCAGTTTCTGGGAAACATAATGCCAAGGCTGCATCTTGGCATCTCATTTCCTCTTTCCACCTCCTTTGAAGCACTACAGTAATTAGCTTAAAGGGAAAATCACATCACATTCAGTAGCAGAATCCTTTACAATGAAAGTTCCTTTCTATTTTCTCTTTTACTTGAAACTAAAGAGGAGTTTTAGCCCACATTGTGTACTCAATATTTTGACTGAAGTGCTCTTACCCAAATGCCAAAAAGCTGTTCACAGGTTTTCAGTAAAATTAATACTTTTCAGTACAAATATGACAAGTTCTTTTACCATTTCCTCAGAAGGAAAACAAGTGATAAAGTGTTCCTCAGAGAACAATTTGTGAGAAATATTAAAATAAAAATGAAACCAAAAGGCTTTTAAAACCTTTGTTTTAAATATGATTTGTTATCCTTTTAAAAGTGGCAGCGTGATTTCTGGGAGGAAGCCACCTCTCACCTAGACTGCCATGAAAAAACACTTCTTTTGTTTTGTTTTGTTTTTAATGTCAGATGCAAAGTTGTGATCAGAACCTGTGCTACGTTATCTGTACAGCAGGACTCTGCAACTGCTGCCTCTTATGTGCTTTTACGAATGACTCTTTGTTTTGTTTCTATGCATTTCTAGCTGCCACTCTGCTGCTGCTGATGTGAAAGTGTCCAGGCAGGTTGTGGAGCGTTTCCACTTTGTGGTGTACACGGCCTTTTCAGAGCTGGGAGCCACACGCTGGCGCTCCAGAGACTTCTGGCTGGTTGCACTGCTGGTGGTTTTGCTTTGGTTCCTGAGACTTTACCTGCATTACTTGAGCCAGTGGCTCTTCCTTCGGACAATCTCAGTTCCTGTTACAAAGTAAGTCCTGCTAAACTCTTTTCTCTATGGGGATATTTCTCCAAATAGCTTGATTCAAAGCAGGTGGTTTGCACTATGAGGAGAACTGATGGTTAAGACTCATGCTAAGAGCTCAACATGCAAGCTCTGATAGGAGCCCTGCAGAAACTAAGAGTGCGTAACAAGGACTGCATCCAGAGTCCAGTGATCTGATATGCAAATGTGCATATCAGGTGGAGGTGTTGGTAATGTAAACTTTAAACCCAGAATATGACGTGTGCATTTGTGTAACTTGTGTCATGCCTAGCTCTCTCCCATCTGAGATACTCAGCAGGTTATGCATCTTCCAGAAGATTAATTTATCACTTTGGATAAAGTATTTCAAAATGCCTAAGGAGTGCACAAAACTGAAGAAGCATTTAAATCATATTTCATGCTACCAAAGTGATCTATGAGTAAAATACTTATAAGAATTTAACTTTGATATATCAGTTTTACTGTGAGTACTGCAATGAGTTGACATATTTTTACTGTATAATACATTGACTTCAGCTCAGGAATTAGACCTCTCTAGAGTGTTGCAGGAAAATCATTGCTTGTCATTACCTGGTATGAAAAAATCCAAAGATGGACTACAAGTCCACTAGGTGATAAACAGCTGACTCTATTCATGTTTCTGTGTGGTAGAGAAGGGTTATACAGAGCAAAAAGATTCCATCATGCGTAGGAAAGGAAATAGTTCTCTGATGGAAACCCTTTTTTTTTCTTTTTTTTCACCTTAAAGCATCACATAAACCTGAATCAGTCAGCATGAGCCAGCAATATGTAACTCTCTGACCTATGTCTGGTGTGGTAGTGGTATTGATTATTGGCTGAAATTTGAACAAGGTATCTGAGCAGACTCTGGACCGTGGTGGGTGTTAAGGTGGTCTTCTAGATCTTAATACAAAGCCAGCCATCTCTCACTTCTGGTCTTGCACAGGCCCTGTCAGCTTAGCCAGCTGGCACTAAAACTTCTGGGAGGCCAAGCATCAAGAGTCTGCGAAAACAAAGGGAGCTCAACAGAAGGAAGCAATGCATGAGAAAGTGGTGGTCAGTTCAAAGCCACTAGTCACAGCTGTCCCAGGCAGTCAGCTAGATAAAGGATAATGGTCTCAAGCCAAAATGCCCTGGATCAGCATCCCAGTCTGTAACTGTGGGCTTGAACAATGAGACTGAGCTGAGCATTCTCTAGTCCTACCAAATGTAGTGGTAACACTCACAAGTAGGGAACAGAGTGAGAATTAAACCACTTTACCTTTAGTTAGGAGCAGAATTTAAGCCATTTCAATAGGACTGAAATTTTTGCCTCAAATTTCATCATCTGTGTGAAGCTCACAATGCCATGCTGTTCGTGTCTCTTACAGTGCCAGAAAACTCGCTCATGGTATGAGCTTTGCAAATCCCACTGTCTCATGGTGGTAAGAGGGACATTTCCAATCACTTTAGGAGTGCTAACAGCTGTCTTCCATAGCACATTTTCTGCTTTGTGCAGTGCCCAAAGGTGCTGCTGGGCAGAGATGGGTGAGCTCCTGGGGCCTGTGCTCATGTTGGTGCATCTGGGAGGTAGCGCCTTCCTATAGCCTTTCCTGAACAACCCCTAGAGCCAGGATCTGTACCCAGTGAACTGAGAGTCAGAGGGGAACCAAGGATGCAGAGACAGGAGGAGGAAGAAGTTTGTTTTTTTTTCTAACGAGCTTCACAGAGTTTTTGGTCAGAGGGTTGTGACACAGATAGGAATGCAACTTTACAACTCAGCATGCATGATCCTACCTTCTTTCAATGGCTTGCTCAGCAGCACAGACAAACGCTCTCCTTTTGCTTGTTTACAGATTCCAGCTCTTCCCTCACACTGTGGAACTGTGCTACCAGAACTCCTTGCTGCACACCAGTGAAGAGTTGGCCATGGTTGTGGTGGGACCCCTAACCTTGAATGCAGGGCTGCTTCTCATGGTCCTGATCAGATGGGGCTGTCAGCAGCTGTTTGACTCATTCCCTTCCTTCTTGTCAAAGTTTATCATAGCTATGGGACTATGGACAGTGCTAGACCCCTTGGCAGTGTTTGTAGTGGATTCATTCCTGGGGGTGAGTCACTTAAAATAACTTGGACATGAGAACTTGATGTAGAAGTTTGTTTTATTCAGTGAATCACTGAAAGATATGAAAATCCACCCCTGGCACTAGAACATAAAAGTTAAAAAGAAATTAAATAATAATGTTATACATTACCTTTTTATTAACAAAATTCCCATCTAATGGAGTCACTGTGTTTCTGCAGAAAATTAAGAGCACTGTACAAGCCATATTTGGAGATAAGAAAGTAAATCCACTGCTGGAGTGATTGCATCTGCTTTGAAAAGAATTACTGCAATTTTGGATGTTAATGGGGATGGTTTAATGAGCAATCCTAATTATTAACGTTCAGATTTTTCTAAACATCGAAACAGATAAAATGAAAAAATTCAGGTTATCATGCACTTCTCTGACACGCAAGGTAGTTAATATAATTTACTGGCACACCTAAAAAGACTTGTGAGATTGAAAGACAGACATCATTCAGGAGAGAGTTTCATCATATGTAAAAACAGGAGAGCAAAGTTGCCAGCTCTGTCTGTGCCTGTGTATGGGCTGTGTAGCCCAACTGTTCTTGGGTGGCTGCAGACTTTTATCACATCTGAGATAATGCCCAGTATGCCAGAGCACAAATTTCAAATTTGCGTCTCCCTGTTTATGTGACACAGGCTCTATTCAATGGTTGCAGGATGGTGAGATCTTTTCTAGGGTTGTAGTATTGCGCCTCTTCTGCCCTTGCTGGTCTTTCAAAGTCATCTACATTTCGGTTGCTCACTCCAGATGAAATCGAATCTAATCTACAGGTCTTGTTGTGGATCAGGTTTTCTCAGGTCTCTTGGTTCTTCGTCATCTAACCTGCGCTCTGCAGGTGATTTTTCACTCTTTGCACAATGTTTTCCATTGCAGTGGTTTTGAAAATTAAAATTCAGCTCTTCAAGAAATATAATTGGAGTTCAGTTGAGAGGTAATCGCAATACTTTTGCGATTGCCAACACTCTCTAGTTTTCACTTGAGCAGCCTGCATTTATTTATTTATTTTTTTATTCCATGATGTAAAATATGCACAGTATTGAATTTTAATTGTAATTATTCAGATTATTATTTTTTTTTCCTAAAAGAAAAAGATATATTTGCTCAATAACCAGGGTAGGAATACTGAAATGTTTAAATAGATTTTTTTATCCCCTCTAATACTAGTGTATTAATAAAAACTGGAAGAGAGGATAAGGTCTGTCTTATCTTTCCTACACTTGCATTGAGAAAATCGTTGCCATTGACTTCAGTGGAATTATGCTCAGTTCTACACAGACTGGATTACTTATCAATTTCAAATAGCACTTGGGCAGGGGGAAACATGAGATACAAGTAAAATGACTTAGTTTTTCATTAAAGTGTTAAAAATGCACACACTTCTCTGTACTTCATATTGAAAATTTGGCAGTCTTACCCACCAAGATTATCTTTGGTAGAAACTCATTTGTTCAAATATTACACAATATACTGTATGTATCCTTTCCAAAATGAAACTATATCTCTTACATGTGTTTTCATTATTGCATTTGTAAATTTTTTTTCTCTTGGCATTCTTTCAGCAGCTATTTCAGATTTGCTTGCCAATCTATTTTAGATCAAACCTTTTTAAAATAGTCTTTTGTGGTAATACGAGTTATTTTAGTGCTAGAATGTATTTTAGTATTCAAAATGGCCTTAATACTTATGAAAGATGACAGATAGCCCTGGAGACAAAGGTTTCTGTGTTTACTAACTAATGTTTTTTATTGTTAAGGAAAGGCTGGAGAGCAGTTGCATATTTGGGGGGTGTTTCAAGTCATCATCCTAAATGCTGTGTCAAATGTGTTATTTCAAATTTCATTTACTGTCAGCTTGTAGAAAGATGTTTCAGGAATAAGAAACATTCCCATGCAGTTCAAGTTCCTGTTCTGTCAGAGTTTTCCTGGGACCTCACTCACTTTGTCTGTCTGTGGCTTCCAAATTACAGAAAACAATGCCACCTCCCTGGCCACATGGATGCGTGTCATTATGAAAAACAGGAGTCACTGCAAAAAGCTCACATGACCACCACATGTGGTGGTATGATGAGTACCTGAGAGAGATGTTGACAAATGTTATTTAAGCTATTTAAAATGAAGACATATTTCTTTGATCATGTCTTTGAGGACCACAGAAGTTATACAGATTGACAGAGTACCTTTGTTAGAAAAAAAGTATAGAGAAGTAAAGTTCTCCCACACCACTTTTGCTTTGCCATGGAGAATTGGTTGGGTAGGAGAGAAATTTATTCTTATTTGCCATTCAGACTTTTCCCTCTCTGGAGGAATGTCAGGACGTGACTGCTGTGCAGAGGATTTTCCTTGGTAGACAGTTGCTTCAGTAAGAAAGCAGTGGCTGCAGCCAATTTATTTATTTTTATTTTTTACTTTTTTTTTTTTTTTTTTTTTTTTTTTTTTTTTTTTTTTTTTTTTTTTTCTCCCCAAGAAGAGAAGATGGGGCAGGGAGATAGAAGAGAACCAGAGTATTTAATTCTTTTTGTAGTAAATATGTGACTCATCTTTATATGTCATTACCAGTCTCCTGGGACCTTCAATTTCCATGACAGAAACCTAGTAGCACTGCAAATGTTGAAGAGAGAACAAAAATGTACTCAAGAATCACAGTCCTTCAATAGCTGTCCTTCTTTTTCTGTGTCCATTCCTTTACTATGCACATCATTGCCAAAGTATCCAGAAATGTGCAGAAAGTTAGGGTTAATCTAGGCAAGGGTTAATCTAAGGGTTAATCTAGGCAAGTTGCTCAGAAAGGTGCAGATTTCTTGAAGCCTAAAGGTCACAGATCCTCTCTGAATGATGGACACTGGATGCTTTGGTGCTGCAGTTTCACATCCTTGCAAAATGTATCAACACAATCTAACATGATATAGGTGTCACCGTGTGACTTTAAAAAGGCAAAAGTAGAGAGAGGAATTTATTTTAGTTCTGAGCAGAAGACCCATGATATGTAGTTAAATTCTTCTAAATTGATCCAGCAGAGGGCAATAATATGTCAATACAGTAGCTAGTTCTTAAGAGCTAGATATGAAGAAAAAAGATTAAAAAAGGAAAATAATAGATTTTTTGAAAAGAAATAATTCAATATTATGCCTCCTTGGTCATTGCATAAAGGCAAATTTCAGCCTTCTGTCCCTGCCACTTGTCCTGAAATACACTAAGAGATTTCACTTCGAGCATTTTCACTGTGACATGGGTTTTCTTCAATAACCCACCTCTATATGGTAGATTTTAATTGCACTACAATAAGCTAGAAAGTAGTTTATTTCACATCCTGTGTTTAATTTAAAATTCTAACAGACTCCTAAGTTTCAGACTGCATGTCCCACAAATTACATTTAAATCCTTATTATACAGAGATTCATGTTTTGTCTCTATAGTCTAATCAGGTGTAACATTTTCTTATGTTGATTTTTTCTCCATGACAGCGATTTGGGAACAGCGTAGAGAAACCCATTGCTGATGCTGCAAAACTCTCCTGGGTGTTTCTAAGAGCAGGGGAGTCAGGAGTTCCTGGTGCCTTAATCACAGTGATGCTTTATACCATCCTGTTCATGATCTCATCAACAGTGTTGTACCTGTATTTTTTAAGGTATGTCTCTTAATCTCATTATTCCCTTAGGAGCTTGGGTTCCTTCCTCTTCTCCTGTTAGATAAAATAAGGTGACATCAGAAAAGATGTATCAGTGCCACACACCCAGAGCCCTGAACTGCAGATAATCAAGGAGGGGTTTGCTCCTGCTTAACTTTTAATGCTCTGGGATTGATGGGCAAAGCAAGTCAGAGATGGAGTTACTTATTTCCTCAGCAGGAACACAATTGATATAATGATTTTTCATAGATTCGAGAAGCCTCTGCTTCTTTGGCTTCAGGCAATTGTGCCTATGAAAGGGCTTAAGCTGTAAAGTGTGTGTACACATTTAGGTTCTTTGGAAAATGTTGTGTTTAGCCTTACAAGAAGGGGTTTTGTGAGAAACGGGAAAAATTTCAGAAAGCTACATATGATATGGAATGCAAAATCTCTGAATCTGCAGTTCCAGAGCCTTACATCCTTTTGATGATACAGGATTTTCGACTTGTGACTGTCATCATGACAGGACTTAATCCAAGTAATGCTTCCGTGACATAAGCTCATTTTCTAAACTCAGTTCCTCATGACGTTTGGCCAGCTACCTTTCTTGCCAGCTTTCTAGAAGACACCATTAGCTGTGCAGTCAATAGGGACAGGTGTGGGACACTGAAAATTATTTAGCTAGATTGTCAAATATATTGAATGAAAAAGTGTATGTTTTTTAATAAGTGGGTTGTTTACAATGCAGTAGGGACGTTGTGCTGGCCCTCAATTCATCCAATGAAGAACATTGGCAAGCACCAATAGAAAGCCACCTGCAAAGGCAAGATGCAGGCAGGTACAAGAACAGAAAATCTCAGCATACGCCCTCCACCTTACTGTATCATCCCTCAGTCCCCCTTCCACAAACTCTGTTGCAGCAGGCAGAAAAAGATAAATGGCAATCTAAATTTCTGCAAAGTATTTCAGAGTTCCTGCCTTCCTGGGAGCTGTACACAACTCCAGTGTACTGGCAGTCTAGTTAATTAGTTTTTGAGACGTTAATGCCTTCTTAATCATTGACTTAATAGTTTTGAATAGCTTCGTAAGTTTTAGCTGCTGTCGTTTATTACTCAGGAAAATTAATTTAAATTAAAACATTTGTAAGGCAGGTTTTTATGAGAATATTACCAACATCTTCATTGTCTGGGGAACAGGTGCAAGATCATCAAAGGTATCTTTCCTTCTGGATCAATTTTCCTGTAATGTTTTCCAATAAAGGGGTGGGGGAATAATGTTACTAGGGGGAAAAAAGGTTGTCTTAGCACAACACATTTTAAAAATGATTCATAGCAAAATACAAAAGCAAAGGGAAGATAACAAAATCTGTTACAGTGCATAAGGTCTTTGAAGTTCTTTGCTTGATAACAAAAGGAAACATTTTGAATACTGGAGTCTGTGCAGAGTAAACTTATATAATGAGCTTCTGCAATTGTATCAAGTTTCCCTTCCTTGAACATCTACAGCCAACACCATGGGAAACTTGGAACTAGGTAGGACTCTTGAGCAGCACACTGTCAGCCTAATAATGATAGAATTAAAACCTTTTAATATGCTTTTAAGGACAACATCTCTGCATTTCATAACACTGTTTTCTGAATGTGGACATAACAGCATTTGTTTTGAAGAAAGAATAGTATTACTGCCAGAGCAGTTCCCTTTGTGTGAATATTTCTCAGATGCCATATCTCAAATACATTCAAGTGGAATGTTGCTCAGCACAGAAAACATACATTTTTAAATAAGCATCCACCACATTTTTCTCTTGGAAGGTAAACCAGTATAAATATTGAGGGATACCTTCTGTACCTGAAGACTCCAATCCACAAGGGAGACTTTGGCTGTTGGATGGAGGAGGTGCTGTTTATTGGCATTACTCAGCAGTTTGCCATTACACTGAAGTGATTTGACAGTGTGTAAAAGAAGGGATAAGAACCCTGAACCCACAATATCACCAAACAAGCAGGGGAAGTGTCTGTTTCTGCCACAGCTAGAAAACTTCATGGCAGCACTGCTGAACAGCCACGAAGATAATGAAATAATGGGCAGGGGTTAAATAGCATCTACTTGTGTCTCTATAAACCAAAATACCTCAATAAATATGATTCCCCGTGAATGTCTTGGGAGTCTGTAGTACAACTAGCATGGAAAGATATTCTAATTGCTTTTTGGAATAATGAAGAGGCATTGGTTGCAATTCATTCTTTTTAATTCTACCAGATATTAGAAACAGACAGGAGTTTGTTGGTGAAATGTTTTTTGCACTGTGGGAAAATGCAGACTGTCTGAACGAAAAGTGTTTGATGGAAAGCATCTGAATTTCCTGGTATTGAAACATTTTTCAGGGAAAAGCTTCAGAAATCTACATTTTTCAGTGTTAATAACAAAACTGGTTTTGTATTTTCAATGGTGGTTTTCCAAAAAAGGATGAGAAAGGCTCAAGCTAAGATGTAATAAATTGTTTTAAACCACTAAAACTACCCTTTAATTTTTGGTTTGTGTAATTCTTTGAAAAGCCCATTTTTTAATCAACCTCTTGGTAGGAAATAATTTCAATGTTTTCTGCTCTTTCTGATAGGTAAATAAATGAACCTATAGACTATTATACTGGTTCTCATATGTCTGGAGAACATAATCTGTGTTTTGTTCTTTCTATTGTATTAGCAATAAAAATAACTACTCTCATGCTTATAACAAGGTATGTTAAGTTATAAGAAGTGATTTATTAGTTTTCATGCCAAAGAAAAGAAATTAAAGCAGGTAACAAGAGCAGACTGAGTACTTTTGGACAAAAGGAACAAAGCTGAAAGACAGGCTTCATGATTCTTAATTAATTCAAAGTTAATTATATTGTTTATAACCATGTGCTTAAAATCTTCATATAGAAAATGTTTATGGTAGCAAATAGACAGTAATTTAACTGCATTAAATTTTACTTAATTTGAAACAAGAATGTTGCATTAAGTGAGCTTAAATAAATGCCAAGGTCTTTCTCTTGTTTAGCAAGACAAGTGGCAAACAATTTAAACTGCTGACCTGGAATGTCAAACACAAACACCATGGAATAATATTGCTTCAACATGAACAGAAGGTCAGAAAGTCCACCAGCATAATTGCTAATTTTTCAACCAAGCACAAGATAATTCTAAATTATGAGTAAATTCTTCCAAAAATATATTTATTGTATCGAAAGAACATCTGATGTAGATCCAGAGATTAATTTTTTTTATTTAAAGATACTATGGAGTTTTGTAATTTATTACATAGAGGGTACTAGGTTTTTATTTTCAAATAATCTCTTCTGTAGTGTGTTTTAAGCTGCTTTGGTATTCTATTCTGCTTTAGCACTGATTTGTATTTCACACTTTGGAGCATTTTCTATTATTTCTTGATAGCCAGTTTGTTTATATTCCCAGACTACCTACATCTTGATTAGATGATCTTCCACCTGTTCTCCCCTCTTGATAAGAGAATCCCAAAATGACATCTTGGAAACTACAGCAAATTTAGGGCAGCAGCTTCAAAAATAAATGTTTCAAAAAAGAAGGGCGGGGAAAAAAGTACAGAGAGAACCTTTGCAGCAAAGTCTGAGATATAAATTCCTAATCTGATGTTGAGTCAGGCTGCCAGATTTTGGGATCAGAATAGCTACTTCATCACAGAAACTCTTGGACATGGTTGTTGACCCTGAGGTACACATTCCCCTTCGAAGAAGAGCTAAAGCTCCTCCTGAGGTCAAGTTGAAAAATTGTCTGTTGGTGCATCTCCTTATATCTGTTCCATGCTAAATCTCAATTGTGGGCAAAATTGTATTAAGCAACTAACTTGTTGTGTGTGCTGCTCTGCACTTTCTGTGAGCAGTGTAAGGTGTGACGTAGAGCTGATGTAAATGTGAACTTCATTCTGGTTTAGCTGAACAACCTTCTGCCTCTGCCAGGCACACACGTCGCTCACCACAAGATCCAAGGATAAGACCAGCCACAAGAACTGTCACTGGTGCTCTGTATGTGAGAAGGGTGAGAATTCAGAGGGTCTAAGGAGTTATGCCTGTGCTTCATCTCCCACCTGCCAAGAAACAAAGGACCTAAACAATTCAACAGAAATCCAGGCATTTTGTTGGTTGCAATGCCACAGCAATCCATGCACTTCTCATGATTACCCAGCCAGTCTATGGGAAGGATAAAAATATTGAAATTGGCACCAAGAAACGGCTGAATTAGAGTAAAGTATTATCTTGGGAAACGGTACAAAAGAAACGACCTCTGTTCAATACCCAAAACTCAGATTCCAGATTTTCTGATTTCTATTTTCTGAATCTGTTTTTGGAATAAAAGTAGAATGAAAAAGAGATTAATTGAAGAGGATCCATTTGAATCAAACAACAGTGTTTTGATGTTTTAAAGTTCATTTTAGGCTAAAAATGTGACACCAGGCTTTTCCAAAAGCCCCACAATATTTCTTGGTTTCACCTACATCAAGAAATGCCACACAGCAAGCCTTTCTTGTGGGAGAAAATTTTACTGCATAGTGCTTAGTCAATTCCTCACCACAGAACAGAAATGTCATAGAAAAACAAAGCCAACAAATGAAATGAACTTTTCTAACATCAAGAGAAGTTTAGATTGTATAGGCTTCAGGCTTGGGGTTAAAAAAAAGGGTGAGTGGTTCTCTTCTATATGATGTGGTTTGCCCATTATTGAACCCTGGCACAGCAGGACTTCCATTCATGTCTAACCATGCTACTGGAACTAGTTACCCAGCCCAGTGTTAAGGACAGACATTAGACATTTCTGAAGGGAAGGAAGATCAGGATCTTTTTAGAAAGTCAATATCTTTAAATAATTAAATTAAATTGCTGCTTGCATTTATGTGATTTGGTTCAGGTACTGTAAATTCTCCAGAGGCTGCGGAGGCCTGTATTTTGGAGAACTTCTTACTCATGGACAGAGACCACAGTCATGAAGGGAAAACCAAAACATAAGTCTACAAAAGAATGACCTTTTTTTTTTTTTTTCTTCCCATTAAGAGTCTATTCAAAGATGAACCAAATATGTAATTTCTATCTTTAGGCTACATAGCGAAGGTTGGCTGTTGGATGTATTTCGACGTATTCATGGTGAGGAGGGTACATTCTTTGTTCCACTGGACTTGGAGATTTCCAGTCAGGAGCTGAGCTACATTATGAAGAGGGCTGAGCAGTGGAGAGGAATCAATGGTGAAAGACGGATGGTGAGTGGTGAACAGTCTCCAAAAAGAGTCTGTGGTCCAAATTAATGCTTTGCATTTCTTAGTGCTATTCAAAAGAATCTAGATATTAGAAAATTATTCTTAGGGTGCTTCATTGAAGGAGAAGCTAAGAAGCAGCATGTTCAGGAGAATTTTGTGACATTGCATGTACATTGCCTGAACATCCTGCTTAGTAACCAAAGGGTTAGAGGTTACAATCTGCTTAGTAACCAAAGGCTTAGAGGCATCACTGATGTCAAAAATTATCTGTGCCCTCTGATGGTTTTTGACTGGCTCTTAGAGACTTCCTACTGGTTTAAATATCAGTATCATTCCAGATAATTTCTCAGCCAGCTCAGCAAACTGAGTATTTCCATGAACATTCTTTAAGAGGGCATAAGTGAGGCTGCCATGAGAAGGGGATGTGAGTTTGGTAGTCAGATATGAGAACCATGTTCTTCTCCCTGGCTCTTTTCCTCCAGGATTGCCCAGAAGAGTGGGCTAAGCTGGAAATCTGCAGGGAAAGGTACTCTGCTTTGGTTATCAAAATAATTCCTCTTTCTTTTCCATTAAGCCCCTAGCCTCTAATCCCATATAAAGATCTTAACCTATGATGTATAGGAGATACATTCTGTGTTTGCAAAGGGTCCAGTGGGGGGGATGTCATCCACAGATGAAGCTTCTGGTCATAATTGCTTTCAGAGAATTGAAAATAAAAGAAATAACGTGGTCAGTAGTGTCTGAGGGACATTGTCCTCCTTTCTTCCTTGCTTTCTAGCTTTACTCCAGTTATTAATTCCCATAGGACTAATTTACAAACTGGCTCTTGGACAATTGGTAAAGTGCTCATCTCTTTGATCTATATATCTGTGAATGCCTCTGTGTACAATGCTTTGTTTGGTAACTTTCCTGCTTCAATGCAAAAAAAATAGATTCCCCAATAGGAAGAAAATTAGTCCTCTTAAGGCTGTATGAGTTGTTTTGTTTTTCTTTTCTAACTCTCTGGAACAAGGGACTTAATATTAGGGTCTGCAGGTTTTTCAAATCTCTATAACTACCTCTGAAAGATCAGCAGTTTATATAAATATATCGCCTCAGTTGTCACTGTTATAAACATCTGCCACAGCTGTAATTATTTTCCACTTTTTTTTCCCCTGTGATGACAGTTTGGACCCTGAAAGGAAAAACTGAATGAAAAAGCAGATATTCAGTAAGCTTAATTTTTGTGGGAAAGTGCAGAGCAGCACATGGCATTTCAGCAGAGGGGAGGGAAAAGGTTTGAAAGAGTGAACGTGCTTCCACAACCACCTGCGTCAGACATTCCCACTTTTTGTAGATATAGAGCTTATTTTGTCTTTCCCAGTAAGTAAAACAACATTTTTTTCACTTCAAATCTTTCTGCAATAAGTCAAAGTATTACTACTGACAACTGGTTTCTATTATCATTGTTACACATTAAGTAAGGTCAATACAAAGAATACATGTAGTGGACCTAATTTTGCATGCCAGGACCACCCGTGGCATTTGGAAAAAAGTGGCAGATGAAGAAAATGCAAACAACTGCATTTCTAAGTACTGAATAAATTTCTAATGATATTTCCAGCATATAATTTCTTGCAGCAGAATAGAAAGGGCTGGATAAGGTGAACAAAAAAGAAAAACAAAAAAAAAAGGAAAGGTAGGAGGAAAGGAGGAAGTGTGGGGGTAAAGAAAAATTGAAATGAATGGAAAGAAAAATTATTTCTCTATATACAGGTAGTCTGTACCTGAATGGAGGAAACCTGAATGGGTTGTCCACTGCTACAGTAAGACATAATTCAAGGGACAGAACACTGAAAGGCATGACCCATAGCTATAGAAACGTGTAAGTGCCTAGTTTTACTTCCAGTATGCAGCCTAGCATGCATGAAAGGCCACACTGAAATGTAAAATCTTAGTCTGAGATCCTTTAAAATGGTTCCAACCTCAGCTGGATCCAGCACCTCAGAAAGTGCAGAGTAGAGGGAAGAATTCCAATGCCTCACAGGGAGCAGCACACATTTCATTCAACAAAAGAAAGTGATGCACAGTTTTGTCTTTACTAAACCCCTATGTTTCTGGTTCCTATTCTGTCTACATCTGCATGAATTTCATGCCTTTTCCTTGACCTCATCCCTAACCAAAAGCCAGGCTGTGACAGTGTTAAACATTTCTGTTCTCTGGGGGACACACTGGTGCAGATTATATGAGATAAGAATATATGAGCAATGTGGAAAGAGCACAGGAATTTGCATCACTGGCATCTCTAGAGATGATCTCTACCATCTACTTCAGTGGTCACAGAATCTGCCTCACAATGGGGAAAATTTGTGAGTGGAGGCTAGTGTTCAAGAGTCCTGAATTATTGGTACAAAACACAAATACTGTGAAAAAAGAACCAGTCTTCAAAAATCAAAATCTTCCCCATATCTTCTCCTTTTTTTTTGGTATTATTTTGATGAAAAAAGGAACCATCAAAGGAAGTGTTGTTAGCTCTTTACAAATCTAGTTTTGCAATAAAAGTTTGCTCCATTCTACAAATATATTCTCCACATGGAGCATCTCCCTGCAAGAGTGGGAGCTGTATTTGCAGGTCTTTTTATGCTCCTAGGCATTGCAGATACTGAAAGACCCTTTTTTCTGCCATAGATTTGCATAAGGTATTTATCTTGTCCCTTTCTTTTCGTATGTCTAATTGTACAAAGTAATCAGTATGGAAGACACATCACTAGGTCTTGTTGCGTGCATTATTAATGTGTTAATTTTTAAATAAAATACGAAATTAACTGTGAACAATTTTTATAAAGGGAAGCATGACTCTGCCATATCTTACATCACTCCATATAAAAAATATATTTTAAATGGAGGTCATTCAAGTAAATAGTCAGTCAAACCTTCTGGAAAAAATAGGTCCACATTTTTGCAATATTTTCTTGCTATTAACCATGTGCTTCTCATTTTTATTCACTGGATTAAAAATTGCCCCATAAATGGGTATTTTATAATATGCTTAATTTCCTTTTATTAAATTGATAAATGCAGCAGCAGAGGACACATTTACAATATGATGAGAATTTAAGGTTATTGCATTTTATAATTTTTATATTGTTCAGAGGAGTGATTTGTCATTTGTGGAATGACATCCACGCCATCATTTCAAAGTATTTTCAGTCTTTCTTTTGATAGGAAAAAAGGTCACTTTCTGTAGACCAGGAAGACATCAGTCTATTAAACTAATTTGCCTACATGCAAATTTTGTCATTTTTACCTCATTAACTATTTATCATAGAGTAAAAAAATATATATATTCATGAAGGGGCAGCTAACAGCCTGATGGAGCTGGAACTAATATTTTGCAACTCTAATGATTTTTTGCATCCTTAATTAGATAGCATAAGGTTGATATGATTAGGTCAGGATGTAGTGTTTTTCATTAAAATACATTTTAGAAGCTGTATTCATAATCTGCCCTTGCAATTAAATAATGAGCCTATGAGTTTAATATTATCGACCCAATTATTATCCCATGGAAAAGTATACCTTTAATAAATTTGTGCCGTAGGACCTTCATTAGCAACAAAACGAATTATATTTCCAGGTACACAGATTACATGGCCACAATCACATTTACGCAGTGGTTTGGAAGGCACTGTGCAGGCAGGGCCACCGTAGCCCTGCACCTCACAGAAAGCCTCTTGATTATTCTGGAAAAAGCCATTTACAATGCCTTTAACGAGGAAAGCTGCAAAGACGTAAAAATGCCACCTACAGAGGCAGGCAGAAACATTTCTAGAAACAAACATGTGCTGAAGCAGCGTTCTGTGTATCAGTGCTAGGAAGAAGCCTGGGCCCCCATTCCTGTTACAAGCATGGAGGCAGAGCTGAATATTTGCTGATCTTTTATTAGAGACAGTCACGTGTTAAATGTGTGTCAGATTGTAGAATTGGTAAAATGAGGACCTGTGGCAGACTGGAATATTTTAATCTGCTGCTGTTAGCAGATCAGTGATGAAGGCAGGACCCTGGATTTTAGCCAAGAATTTTCTTTTCTTTCTAGAACTGGTAAAAGTGGCAATATCTTTCTGTCCTCACCAAGTAACTGCTTTTCCAGTATTAAGTAATGGTTTAGAGCCAAGGTATGAGGTGAGGTTTTCTTTTGTTTAAACAAATAAGAATTAAAAAAACAAAAAAACAAAAAAAAAAAAAGGAGGGAAGTATTTCTAGTAAAGCAGCTGACTAGAGATGGTTTTTTAAGTGGGATCTGTTGTGACCTGGTTGTTAGGTGTGCATCAGTTTGGTCATGTCTAAAGCCTCTGAACTATTTACCAGGTCAATTGCTATTAGCAGGAATAAAAAGGAATAAATATGGCCCTTAGAGATTTTTACTGGACTTAGCCCTCAAAGTACCACCTCTGCTTGAAGTGGGACTATTTATGTTGTAATACTAACAATGAGAAAAGTTGTGCAAGTAGTAAGCTGAAACAAAACTGCATACCAAGCACAGGCCCAAAATATTGGCACATGAGGAAGTTTTCTGGAAAAAAAAAAAAAAAAAGCAAGGTCTGTAGGCAAGAAGATAATGTGAAACTTACACTTGAAATAAAGCCTGATGCACTGCAAAATTATTTTAATGAGACTAGGGCTAATTTTCTAATTTTAAAATGATATTATAGCAAACCATAAAAAATTACCCGGCAGTAGATTTTTGAAAGGAAAATATATTTGTAATTATCTTGAACACACAAGATTACTTCAGGGCCTATTATCGACACAATTTTTGGTACCACTTTACACTAATTTGCATTTATTACTCTCAGGCCAACTATTAATATGTTAATAAATAAGTCATTAATACTTGTTATTTAATTGCTATCTATTTATTCCTGTTCAATAATGCATTAATTACTTGTGAATAGTTGAGGGCAAAATTCTGCCCTTGCTAGTGGAATCAGCACTGGTAGGAGAGGAAACTGATGTTGGATGTGGCAGCATTGCAAGGGCTGCTGGAGAGCAAGTCTTTTAACTCATTT